TATTCCGTTGACTTCCCATCCGCAGCCAGCGTGGAGAGTGAGCTGCATTGCTGGCACACCAAGTGGTCGAATGTTTGGAATGAGCATGGCGAGCCTGCTATTCCTACCTCGGCTGCGCTGTCATTACCTCACGCCAGCCAGATGTTTCCCAACATCCGTGCCATACTGCAGCTGCTCTGCACTCTTCCCGTTACGTCCTGCTCATCCGAGCGTTCATTCAGTGCTCTGAAGAGGATCAAGGATCGCCAGAGGTCAACGATGGGCAATGAGCGCTTGACCGGCCTCGCCCTGCTGCACATTCACTATGATATCCCGGTGAGCATCGATGCGGTCATAGATGAGTTTGCGCGGCGCCATCCAAGGCGGATGCACCTGACAAACATTTTCGCCACCGCACCTCAAGCTGCTGCACCAGATTCAGCTTGAACTGCGGGTCCTGACTTGATTTCCAGTCACCAGTCACCTGCATACTATTAATTTTGCTTGCTCTAAATACATCATTAGTGTCGGATATCTACTCCCAAACTATCACTTTAATAATAGCATAGTGTACAGTACACTAGCTGTCACACAGAAGAGGCCCAAATTTTTATTGAATGTTTTCGCTCTATTCACATCATGACGATACATAGAGAACAGTCGACAGTGCAATGCAAATGTGTAATTATATAGATTGTTGGAATGGGAAGCTGGAGACATTCATAATACATAAATTCAAGGTGTACACCGCACTAGCATGCATACAAGATTCCTCAAAAGAACGTTTGTTGTTGTTGTTGTAGAAGTTTATTTAACGTCGCACCACAAACAGGCGATTTCGCCTCCTTTGATACATGTGGACGACAGAAGGAATGAGAGAGAGGGGGGGGGGACAGAAGTATGGAGAGAGGAAGGGTAGAAATAAATAAGCAATCAACCTCAGGGCTACACCAAAGCAAAAACGGAATGGGAACATACTATATACAAAATAGCTTCATACATATACTAGTATATATTATTGCAAAACACGTTTACTATTCTTCAGTCCGCTATACCACAGAAACACACTAGCCGACAAGCATTTAAGCGGAGCCATGATGCGCTTTTAGCAGGGCACAGAACTGAAGGTGGCTGGGCTCGGAACGGAGATCAGGCGGGAGCTGGTTCCACAGGACTGCGCCGATGAACTGCATGGTCGCTCGACCCGCAGGACCGGGCCAAAATGGTACTCGAACGAGGTGATGTGCTGCTCCCCGAGTGCGGTCACCAGTAACTCTCACGAAGAAGCTGGTGAAGAGGGAGATAGCTCGGGAGAACAGACAACGACGGACAAAGATGAGGAGCTTAATGTTAAACATGTCCTCCAGGGTGGTGAGGCGGAGCAGGTCAAAGATCGGGCTCGTGCGCGACCACGGTGGCAGACCGAAGAAGCCGCGGATAGCGCACTTCGTTAGACGTGTGAGGGGCTCCATGTTGCCAATTTGAAGTGACGGATAAAAGGCGTTGGAAGCGTACGACAACCTACCCTGGATCATCGACCTGTAAAACAGGATCTTTGACGCCAGGGTGAGGCTTCGGCGGCTCCGCCACAGCGCACCTACTGACTTCCGCACCTGCTGGATTATGTGATTGACGTGAGGCTCCCAGGAGAGCTGCCCATCTACCATTACGCCCAGGTACCGCGCTTGTTCCACAACTGCAAGGGCTGCATTCCCACAGCGTTTATGGAAGAAATTATGGGCACCCCCCTAAACCATGATCCTGGCTACGCCCCTGACTTCAGTACTTGTAGTACTGTTAGGTACCTCCTCCCGTACCTTTCCTAGCTGGCCTGCATGCACTTACGTTCTCACCTTTTGTCTCCTTTTGTTCCGTTGGCCTGGGTAGCTACTTGCGCGCCCATATTTGCCATAGCTACCCAGGCCCTTTATCTTGCCGTTCAGACTTGATCTCTTACTCTCTCTTTTCTCACTCGTCAATAATCATCATGTAGTCGTTTCGTTCGTCTTGGTCTCTTGTCCCGTCTCTAATAAATGTCGTCCCAACCTACCTGTTCCCGTTGTAATGTCTGGATATGTCGTCAGTCGTCCTGTTTCGAATTCAACATTGGCGCCCGATTATTGATCGACCCACGACCCTGAGATCATCCCATGCCCAGCCGTCCTCAGCCACCATTCGTCTCGTCTATGTCAACCTCGTCTCGTCCATGTCAGTCTCGTCTCTCCTACGCCAACCTCGTCTCGTCTCTATCAACCTTGTCTCTCCTACGCCAACCTTACCTCGTCTATTCTCGTTCAAGCCATGCAGGTCAGCTACCTTTCTATCTTTCTTTTTTTTTTGTATGCTTCTTCGTCAAATTTATTTTCGTGACTTTTTTTGTAGTGTGTGCGCGCGCGTGTGTTCGTAAAACATAACCAAGTTAGGGGTCCGATCATGGTGAGCCACGCTCTAATTTTTGGATGTTTAGCAAAAGTGTAACTAGGCTGTATTAGCCGTGCAAATACTAGTAATTCATGTTCCTCGTCAAACTCCAATACTTATTACACACTATAAGTAGTACAGGAATGATCTGTAGTGCATTTAGTACACACTTTCGTGAGATCCGTGCGCGCGTACAGTATGTGTGTGTGTGTGTGTGTGTGTGTGTGTGTGTGTGTGTTTTTCTTCTCCTCCAGTTCATTTTTTTTAAATATTTCCTCTTTTTTCTCTCCGCGAGGACGCGGGATTTTGTTTCATGGAGGGTGGTATGTTAGGTACCTCCTCCCGTACCTTTTCTAGCTGGCCTGCATGCACTTACGTACTCACCTTTTGTCTCCTTTTGTTCCGTTGGCCTGGGTAGCTACTTGCGCGCCCATATTTGCCATAGCTACCCAGGCCCTTTATCTTGCCGTTCAGACTTGATCTCTTACTCTCTCTTTTCTCACTCGTCAATAATCATCATGTAGTCGTTTCGTTCGTCTTGGTCTCTTGTCCCGTCTCTAATAAATGTCGTCCCAACCTACCTGTTCCCGTTGTAATGTCTGGATATGTCGTCAGTCGTCCTGTTTCGAACTCAACAGTACTAGTGCGTTGAGGTCGTGTGACTCGTGTCCTTTGACCTCCTCTCAAACAAAGATTAGCAATTAGGAAGATCGCTACCAGTAAAATACTACACTATAACGTACAGTTATGGCGAGTAAATCTGGCCACTACAATTTGTAGTCGATCACGCCAATTTGGAAACCAATATGTCAACAATTTTGCAGCCGGTTTTCCAATATATTCCAATTTTGCAGCCGATTTTCGAACAATCAGCTGATTTTACAGCCGAATCTGATGTACTTTTGAGCCGAGCAAAAGGCCAAATAGGCGAAACGAGACGCCCTAACAAAATTATTCTCCCTAAAGCAAAGACCACATCAAAATCGTTGTTTCTCTTCCAAACCTCCCTCTTATCGCGATGTGTCCTGCATGGCGAGCTCCTTCTAGAATTCTGGAGCTGCAGCGCTGTGGAGTAGGAGGCACTGTTCTGCAATGGTTTTTTGAAGTTTTATTTTACATCGCAAACCAAACGGGCATTGATGCCCAATATACATGGTCCTCCAGCTATCTGTCCAGCCGACCACAGCAAGTGAAATGCCTCCGTCAACCACCTGGAACCCCGTACACGGCCAATCGCGGTGTCCCTCAGGGCTCTGTCCTGGGACCGGCACTGTTCACGGTGTACACCAGGCGCCTACCAGCCTGCCTACAGTCGTCCCTCTGCCTGCTGTATGCAGATGACACCAACATCTACGCTGCCGACCCGTCCCCTTCCACTGCCACACAGACCTTGGAACATGATCTGACCCGTGCGAGCAGCTTTCTGGAGGCCCATGGACTGCAGCTGAACCCATCCAAGACGCAATTCCTGCTGCTACGGAAACCCAATGTACATGCAGACTGTGCCCTACAGTTTTGCAACAGCCGTATACAGCAATCGCAGCAAGCCAAGTACCTGGGCATCATCATAGATGAGCATCTGTCGTTTCAACAGCAAGTAAGTAACATTAGAAGTAAAGTTAATGCCAAGGTCAGTGCATTTCGCCGTTGCCGCCACCTTCTCAGTGCTAGAGCCAAGCGAACTTTCTATCTTGCATTTGTCCAATCTACCCTGGAGTACGCGAGCAATGCGTACGTGCACTGCCTGCGACAGACTACCTATAACGCTCTTATTAGCATCGCGAATCGGGCGATCCGCACTGTCTTTGGCTTCCCTCCCTCTGCCTCCATCCAACCCATCTTAGCTAGACAGCACCTAACACCGTTAAATATTCGCTATGCTGCCAACCTCTATGGGTTTCTACATAGATGCATAAATGCTCGTGCTGGTCCCCTCCTTTGCCGACTTTTCACTCCTCGTGCTGTCTCATCATCCCGCACTGCTAGAATTACCCGTTCTCAGGAATTGCTCGGCCTGGTACTGCCCCACGCCAGACTGTATTTTGTCTATCACTCTGTATCTTATCTTGGAGCTGACCGATGGAACGCCCTCCCTGCCGCGATTCACACCATATCCCTACCTGCAGCATTTCGGTCCGCTATCTTCACGTGGCTAGGGCACCCTGTAAGAAGACCATAGGTCTGTGGGGACTGCCCTAGTAAAATATGAATAAATAATAATAATAATAATTATGGAACTGCCTCCCACCAAGACTAACTGCAGAACCATCCATTATTGTTTTCAAGAATGAGCTTCGCAAACTCACTTGCAAACATAGTGCTTCGCTCTCCGGTATGCCTACGCCATGTACATACCCCCCCCCCCCCCCGTGTGCTCCCCAACGCATTTACGCTGCACAACTTTTCACTACTTTCACTTTAGCTCATACGTGTACATGTACATGTACATCCTTCAAAGCGGTGAACCCCTCGATAGGCGACAAGCCTCTGGGTCATCCTAATAAAGATATTATTATTATTATTAAACGGGCCGATTTGGGGAAAGCCTAGTTCTGGCACAAAGCAACTCGTTTGTGGAGTTATTTTGGTGGTGACCTTACCTGGCTCTGAATCGGGCAGGGGCACCGGAAAACGTGTAGTTAAATATCCGTCCACCTTGAGACCAATCCTCTTCTTCTTTGGGGCTATACTCGGTGCTGTAGTACTGCAAGTCCTTGAAGTTGCCACTACACCCTTCCGTACAGCGTAAGTAACTTGCTCCACCCGGACCTAGCAAAGGTATGCTTGGGTCTATATCGGTTGGATTGCAGTACAAACCTTGCCATTGGCAGTATGCCGATAATCTCCATGCAATTCGAAAGTCACATTGCAGCTGTAGAGAACACAAACAAAGATGAGCATAACACGTTGTTGATTATGTAAGCGCAATTGTCAGGCCACTAATGAATGTACAAACGTCCATGATAGGACATCATTAACTATTTTCACTTTCACACAGTAGGTCCCCTCTGAGCACAAAGTGCTCAATGTCGGAAAGGGCAGAGTTTCCTTACATGTAAGGGGGAACAAGAGACAGAGGGACAGAGACACAGAGAGACAGAGACAGATATAGAGACACAAACAGAGACAGAGACAGAGGAAGAGACAGAGACAGAGACAGAGACAGAGACAGAGACAGAGACAGAGACAGAGACAGAGACAGAGACAGAGACAGAGACAGAGTGAGAGAGAGAGAGAAAGAGAGAGAGAGAGAGAGAGAGAGAGAGAGAGAGAGAGAGAGAGAGAGAGAGAGAGAGAGAGAGAGAGAGAGAGAGAGAGAGAGAGAGAGAGAGAGAGAGAGAGAGAGAGAGAGAGAGAGAGAGAGAGAGAGAGAGAAGAGAGAGAAAGAGAGAGAGAGAGAGAGAGAGAGAGAGAGAGAGAGAGAGAGAGCGTCATCGAGCCGAGCACAAGCTACATGCCAAGGCTTAATGGAATGCTGGCCTGGGATAGCGCTATCGAGCAGTGCTAAAGCTGACAATCATGCCGTGGAATGTCTCAGTACTCCCTGTCAGTTTTGTGCTAGATTGTGCACGTCTGACTGTTCAAAATCTGGTTTAGTTGGTGGACTCGATCGCATAACTTGTGCCCACAATTTCCAATATTAAATTTAATTTTGAGGCAAACCTACCACCACATTGCCGTTGTCATCGAATCCGCCATTGCTGCTAGGATTTGGTCCACAAGAAATAATGCCGCCTCGGAAGTGGGTTGCTTCGGAGGAGATCACGAAACAAAGCAACAGCACAGCGAGGCATAAACAGCCAGGCGGATTCCCACAACTATGCATGCTGCTCAATGGTGAGGGTGTCTGGAATAGGTAGAAACCGCAGAAATGGATCACACTCAACGTTTGCGCAACAAGGCATCCAACCGACTCTGCAGTTCTCCGTCAGCTCTCTGATCTCTCCTTGCCTCTACCAAGACTGCAGTGCTCTGCTGCTACTTGCAAAGAGATTGGGATCGCCAAGAAACGTCGCCTTTCGTCAGCGAGGTGATCACAATAATTATGTTTCTAGTCTTTGCCGGATGACAAAGTAAGTACTTCCATCGGTAGCGTTAGAGTAAATGCGTAAGTGTCGGTGTGAGGTTGGTAGGGTGGTGACGGCGCTACATGTATTCACCCATAGTCTGAGCAATGAGGAAAGGTGAGTGGCTGGTATATGTGCATCAGCTGAAGTAAAGATGTAGGTATCATGTACATGTACATATGGCCAGTATGGGGCAATCCCGGACACCGATGGATTACTCAGTATTCCATCCTTCATACTCATAGTAATACACTAGGGCAAAGCAGTTTGACACTTGCTTTACCGGATCAGATGATTGCGAAGCCAAAACAAGCGACAGCACACGTGATCATGGTTAGCGATAGCTGGAGGAAAACAGGGGGTAATACCGCGCTAAGCTGGTTGTGTTTCTCATCACAGTTGTATAGCCGGTGGTAACGCGGACGTGCACACTTTACTTTACTTGACCGCGTTTACCGCGCAGAGTTGTCATCTACGCAAGAGACGCGTGTCAATATCAGTATGGGCTGTGTAGAGGGTTGTGTTTCGCTTGACATGTACATTCTTGTTCCGACGCGCAGAAACTCGCTGTTTGTTTTCGACTTCTAGTCTATTATTCTAGTGTTACTGTGGAGGTGCTGACAACAGCCAGGCGAGCTGTCGACCAAGGGTCAAAGGGACTGCAGGCTCTCTGGTGGTTGCGTAGCGCAATGACCGGTCAGAACCTCCACTCCAAGCTCCAATGACGATGTTCATCGAGAATGCTGTCAACGATCGGTTTTGTACCCATGTGCACACCACTACACGTCAATGACCTACCGCGGAGCTGCTACACCGATCCATAACTCCCACCCCTACCCGCCGCAGACGGAAAAGCATGTATGTATGCAGCAAGCGGAAAGGCAGGATTAGGGCGACCACTTGCCTGCTTCTCGTGTACTAGTAGTAGTAATCGGCAATCATATGGCATGATGGCATTCTTATGGCGCTCGCTTGTTCATACTTGCTCTGTGACGCCCCGACGGCCTTAGGGCTATGGGCTTATGATGATGATGATGATGATGGCAAGATGGCATACGATTGCGTACGAGTTGGAAAACATGTATTTTGTGCAGTCACGTAATTTTAACAAAATGCTGTAGACAGCAACCTGTTTCGGCCATAAAAAGGCTTTATCAGTGTAGCTACGAGCTTTAACCCTTTGAGGTGCCACTGAACGCGTGAAAATACGCAATTGCAGTTCACTCCACCATTTCCACCATAACTTACGTTCTGTTTGCTTGATTTTGACAATCTAGGGCTCTTTGAAACGCTCTTTCCGCTGCCAAGAGAATGAGGCCACGCTCAACTCCGTGGATTATTATTATTATACGCACGTCCGCGTTTACGTCAACAGTAAGTCCACGTATTCGCATGTGCCAGAAGACAGGCAGAGTGGGCAGGGAGGAAAACAAAAATAAACAAAAGTAAAAAATAAATGTAAGACAGCAGGCGATAGGCACATAACTCATGTTCGATGATAGGTGCTCAATGCACGGGATCTATTCGAAAGATCAAAAAAAATAAAACAAGAATAACAGACAACGACGATAGGTTTGTAACTCATTGTCGATGGTAAGTGCTAAATGCACGGGATCTGTACAATGCCTCTGTCCCATCCGTTAGTTACTGCGTACATCCTGGCACAGCTCGCGCCACGCAGGCCTGTCAGCGGCGATGGCCCGCAGGTGCTCCAGGTCTGCCAAGTTCCTCAGACTCCTCAGTCCTGCTGATTCTAGGTCCGCGGATAGTGTGGACACGATGGTTGTCCGTGGCCGCCCTCGCCATACCTTGTCCCCACAGGTGAAGTAACTCCGCATAGCGAGGGCGGCAGGCGTGTCTTGAGGGAGTCTAAGAATATGCCCAAACAGGCCCCATCTGGATCGCCGCATGAGGGCACTGATGGGCTCTGCGTGGCATCTGCCGTACAGGGCTTTGTTTGGCATCACCTGCGGCCAGCGGATACCCAGGGGACTCCGAAGTTGTCTTCGATGGAATGTGTCCAGACGCTCCCATGCTGAAGCCGTCAGTCCCCAGGTGCCTCCATTGTACGTTAGCACAGGGATGATAAACGCGTTGTAAAGCCTTAGCCGTAGACTTTCGCTGATGATCGATCGACGACACCATGCCGTGAATAGCGCTCTGAAGGCTGCCGTTGCTAATTGTTTCCTTCGTGCAACATCTTCCTCGTCGCCGAGGAATGATCCGAGTTTTTTTGTTTTCCGCCATACTTCAGCCAGGCGGTCTCCTTCCCGGCGCAATGTTGTTTTTTCTGTTTTATCTTCGTTGACCTTTGGGTGCCAGTCTCCAAGGATAGTGATGATATACGGTTCGATGCTCTCCAGCCAGGGTCTGGATTGGCTGATGAAATCAGTGTCATCGGCATAAATCACTTCTGGTGGTAGAGCCATGTCGCGCATTGGCCTGGGCGGAATCGATGCTCTGATCTCCCCCTCAAGGCTGATTCCAGGTAGATCACAAATACTACAGGAGAGAGAGAGTCACCTTGGGGGATTCCGATGGTGGACTTGAAATCAGGTGAAACTTCCTTTCCAAGACGGACAGATATGGTTGTGTTTGACAGCAATATCCGAACCAGTCGGATGTCATCCTCCGCGACGATTCCTCTCATGGTACTCAGCAGCTTCTCCCTTGAAACGGTGTCGAAAGCCTTCGACATATCTATTCCGTGAATCTCTATTACGCTCTGGTACTTCTGGGCAATTGCAGCCATCCACCGGTGTGCCGTGGATGCTTTGTTTAAAGCCGATTTGTCAGCCATGGCGCAAAGGTGAGACCACAGACATTAAAAGACAACTCGTTGCTCTAGCGCAAGAGTGCTCAACCTACGAAAGGTAGCGAGCGATGCGTGATGCAGCAGCCTACCGAGAATGCTCAACAAGATGAAGTGAAAAAAGAAGGACCAAATGTTTACAAAGTATCCGTTGTTTGTGTCCAACACTAACAAATTTAAGCAGGACACCGGTGAGTTAGAACGTGCAAAAGTTAACACAACACTGACTGATGTGATAATGACATTCACCAACCTGATGCTTAGCACCATCACGTCTAGAATGCGCAAACCAACAGCAACTTGGAAGGTTCTAAGCAGGTAATTAGTTATGAAATAACGGTAGAAAGGGGAAGGTGAGCGCATTCAAGACAAGGCTTGCATTCTAGACGTCATGCCGCTAAGCATCAGGTTGTTGAATGTCAGTATCACATCAGTCAGTTTTGTGCTAATTGTTGCACGTTCTGACTCACCGGTATCTTGCTCGTATTTGTTAATGTTGGACACAAACAACGGATAACTTGTAAACATTTGGTCCTTCTTTTGTCACTTTAAAAAATACTTGGCTCTCAATCTGAGTCTTCTACCGGTGCAAGTAGTTATATCTGCACACCTGATGAGCCGTCAGCATCTGCAGACTTTACACGGCGAAAGGTAGATGTACATCGTGTGACACTACTTGTTACTGCCGTTTGTTAGTCCACCACAAGTAACTACTTAGTTCCATTCTACATGTACCGGTACTGCTGGGTAGTATAGTACGAAGAGATAGTGCCGTCCGGTCTGTCTCACTTCGTGTTCGCGTAACTTCCCCTCTTTTGCTATCTCCGATAACATGAGCCTGCCAAGTATTAGTTCAATATTGGGTGGTCGTTGTTTCGCGTTCTCGAAACGAGCCGGGGGCGTCCTGTACCGTGGGCTTCGTCCTTCGTCATCACTTTGTCATAGCTAAAAAGTAATATTCTTAGTTCGCTGTTATGTTTGCTTGTTCTCGTCTTGAATGCCGACTTCCTGCACTCAGACTCAGAGGTTGTAGGCGGTACTGTTCATGACCAAGAATGGCAAGATGACGTCGTCTGCTCCGGTGTCTGCGTACAGGAGCTGACTAAGTCACAACTGATCCTGTTTTCACGCCACCGAGTGTGAGGCATGGTCAGTCGCAGACGTTTGGTGGACATCCACTCCATCCAGCTAAGGAGGTGAAGCTGCTCGGTGCTCCTTGACCGCGTCCAGCATAGAGCCATCCGCATCATCGGACCAGCCAGGTGCCCTGTTGCAAAGCTTGGTTGACCGGAGAACGATGTATGCGCGTGGGCGTGCGTACCTTTACAAGATACAGTGTCTGGACGGTGCTCCACAAGTGCTCGCCATGGTCCCCAAGGAAAAGCTGCTACACCCCCCCCCCCCTCCCCCCCCCCTCCCCCCCGAACCAGAGTCCAACAGCAACCGCGTCACAACCACCATCTAGGTTACGACCTGGGTTTGGGCAACTGATCACCTCTGAATCTCTGATCACACAATTTCTTTCCCTGTCTTATCAATTACAGTCAGTATCGCCTATAGCGTTGGTGTTTGATTTTGAGCATTTTAAGCGATATACCGTATTTTCCGGGGTATAAGCCGCACTTTTTTTCGCTAAAAATCAGACCAAAATCGCCCCTGCGGCTTATACACCGAATATGCTTGCGCGAATGAATGCTTAGCATTCCACAGTATGCATGCTGGCGTCATGTGACATGTCATTCGAATTCGACTCAGCTTCGCGCCTGTGTTGCTGATCAACATCAGTGGCAGCGAGACTGAAGATAGTGCAGATGACATCGAGTGATCTGTAGTCAACACAGCCAACATCTCTGCAGCAACCTGTGCACATGTGGTGCACTAACACTTCATAATCTGATCTAACAATAACATGGTATTTAGCTCCATAAACCATAATAAATTTGTAGAAAGGCCATTTGTCAATGAGTGTGCAAAATCTTGGTTTGTGGGTGCGGCTTATACTCCGAATACCAACTTTTAGTCAATATTTTGCCTCAAAAAGGGGGGGGGGTGCGGCTTATACCCCGGAAAATACGGTAATTATTCAAATAATCTACGTGGAGATAATAATTTTAATATAGCTATGAATAGGATGAAGGCCGCAGACATCACGCAACTACGTTACTTGTTCGACATGTATTTACTGTGTATTTTATAACAAAAATATTATTGAAATCTTGTTATCTTGTAATCTTGTTACCTTTTTGCGTTTCCTCTAGTGGTTTTATTGCACTTGTATTTTGTTGTTATTTCTAACACATTTCTATTTACAGTACTTAACTTCAGTTTCTTTGGTTGTATCCTTAGTTCCGTATTTTTCCCACTGATGATAGGAACAAGAAAACCGATTATGGGTTTTCAATAATATTTTTGTTATAAAATACACATTTGAAACTCGGGTATTGGGGTATTTACTGTATATAGTATCTAGTTACAGTGGTGGAGAGTTACTCTTAACTCGTTTCCATATGTCCTTTTCCTTTCTACTTATAAAATACACAGTAAATACATGTCGAACAAGTAACGTAGTTGCGTGATGTCTGCGGCCTTCATCCTATTCATAGCGATATAATAATTACTTGTACTATGACCGATACTGCATGCAATGTATGCGAGTAGGGTGTCAAACGACTCAGCGCGCCGTGCACATACATTGTACATGTACGCACTACATACATGTACATGTACATGTACATGTGCAATGTCATGTACATGTACATGTAGCTGGCTGTAGCTCCTGACACACAAAATCAGCATTTCCTCATGATGGAGGCATATTTTGGCAACTTGTACGGGCAAAACTCACCAAACCACACTCACTGGAAACGTTCTTCACGAAGAAGTAACACCCTGGTCTCCTCTGACATCACTTGATTTTACATCAATCACTATAATCGAGGCAAAACTAATGTAATACAGGTCTTTTGAAATATGAATTTGATCACTATAGGCGATATATTACTATAGACGATTATTACTATACGCGATAACTGTGTATACTTAGTTATGGCAAATGAAAATGAATTTGAGAAATTGATCACTATATCCGGTATATTACTATAGCCGCCAACCTTATAGGCGATACGGACTGTATCATCATAATTATCTCTGTTGTATCTTGCTTCTCTCATCTAATCTTCTTTCTCCATCTTCCTGGTCTACATAATAATTAAGTAGTCTATTGTAGTTTGTAGACCATAGTCATATATATAGACCATAATTATTATGCATCGTCTGATGCGAAAGGATCCGCCTGTTTTCTTTTTCCATGCGCCCCCATTTTCTGGTGCTCTGGAGTCTGGTGGCATGCTGATGCTTAGACCAATGCAGCAATACCAATACTGCAATAGTCAGTGGGGTGCCTCCAGACTCACCAACATGGCTACCCTGTAGCACCCACCTCCCTACTGAAAGTCTACAACTTACAAGTATTATAAACAACTATTACTTACAAGTACAACACCGGTAACCATGGTAACCTCATAGACATAGATCTACGTGCACGGGTAACGCGTACCGGGTCCGTATGACAATGTACATGTACCAGGGAGCGCCATCTCCATGGTCACGGGAGCATAGCTCATTCATTAGTAATACTAATACTAGTAGATCTACCATTTGCATACTGACTGTCTACCATGGTCTACATGAGTCATGACTCGATCATTTTCATGACATGACTCATGACAGTCATGAGTACTGCTGGCACTGCTGGGCTAGGGAGCGAAGCTTCGAGGAACAGGAAACCCCATACTTTTCATTGCTTTTTGACGTGATCTTGCACTGGCGTAACGACTGTGTGGTGTGTTTTTATTCATTTCGCTTCTCTTCCTTGCATGTTTGTGTAATATTACTTGCTGTGCCTTCTGGAAAATCAGGGCAGGGCGAACTTCAGCAGTTCGGGGCACTCTATCGAGACAGTTCCATGCTGAGGGCGAGCATCTCCTATTTTTTCACAAAAGTGTAGATCTACGTGTAGAATTTGGAAACGAAGGCACTCCACGGTCATAAAAGGCTGGCCGGTGAAACGCGTGAGGGTAGTGTAGGCAGCTGGACTGCATGGATAACTCGGCCGGCCGTATCCGGTCAAATCGCTAAGGACTTGCCTCATGCCGGTAACTCTGAACCTGCCTGAACTTTGAGCGTGCTGAAGAGGGAGCCGAGTATGGACGGCAATCGCTTGTGTTGAGTTTCTCCTTGCCTTTCTCGAACCCTCAGCTGAGCTGCCTGCTGTATCTACAGTTTCTGAAGCCGTGAAGGGTTCGACAGTGGCTCATCACTGTACGTGTACGTGATTATCAAGTGAGCAGGCGCATGCACAGTACACCGACTCAGTGAATAGAGGCTGACCGGAACGTGTTGTCGAATACTTGTGCGGTTCCACTGTCCAGTGAGCGGTCTTGCCATCCACAATTGGCACAAAACTGGCCGTTAGCTATCATTCGGCCACCATGATGAGAGCAACGGGAATGTGAGTTGAGCTAAAAAGGATCTTCCCCAACATTTTTTTATCTATGAACTTTATAGGACTGTGCCCAACACTAATTTTTTCTTCCATTCGTTTTGATAGCCGTACAGTGCACTGTTGAGCAACAAACTATCAGAGCATGTAAATCTAAAGTAATTCCAAACCTATGAAGCTTGGGTACAGCATCATTCCAGCAGGGAAGCACACCATGTCTATATTTGAATTTCTGATATGTCACTCTATCAGATCTTGGCATCTGGACTGGAAACACTGCACAATGGGCACCAGCGTTCCATCGCTGTTCATGAGTGAATATATGATCTGCCGTTGATGCAGAACTGAGTTGTAGCCAAGCTTCACTGTATGCTGTTGGTGAGGAGTGGGGGGAAGGGGAGTTTTTGCACTTCCTCATATTGTCTGCATGTTGTATAGTAGTGAAGTATTTATTCATACTTCTCTAGGGCAGTCCCCACAGACCTATGGTCTCCTGACGGGATACCCAATCCAATCTAGGATTGCGATACGAAATTGACTTGGTGAAGCAGCAAGGCGAACGGCGCAGTGCCGTGGACAGACCTCAGTTGGTGTTGGGGAGGTCACGTTCTGGAGAAGGGTAGACATCTATGTTTGCAAAAGCCAGTAGCAGTTTGATGCGTTTCCAGGTTGCCACATGTTACATATTGCTGTCGGAAACGAAATTCTGGGACGCTTATGGGTCTGTTTCCCGGATCTTCCATTATGAATCGGGGACAAAATGACTCGTGTTCCAGGGCCTCAGATTTTAAATTGAAATCCAGAGAATGTATCCGTACTATTGTAGGGAGGCTTCCACGGATGGACGGTACTCTTCACAAAGCTATTGTGTTGTTATCCTCTTTATAAAACCTTTCTTCAAATTGTCTTCTCTCCATCCTTTCTTTTTTCTTCGTGCTCTGGTGCACAATGGCAGTCGATGACCGGCTTACTACATAAGTACATTACACCGGACAATGGCAAGTGCAAAGACTATCTGCGAGTGCCTGGTAATCGCACTGCTCGCCGGAGTTCACCTTGCACGCACGACACACTTTCGCGGCGGTCTCATATCCTGCCATCCTGTGCTGGACAATACTGACGGTGGCGTGGACAGCTCTGGCAGTGTACACGTGAGCAGCTTAACCTCACTACACTACTAGCAGTACTATGCACAGCTTGTACACAGGTGTTCAATGTGCTGGGTCACGGTGATTGTGCCTGGCCGGGGGTCTTACAGATTTTCAAATGTGTGGTACTCCGCGGTAACTTGGTAACCTGTAAGAGGACTGGCTCTCCTCTTGTGAGCATTGAGCACTGTCTTGGGGCGGAGGACTTCCATCAGGCCTATATTGAGTGTATGCAATGTCGGCATACTAGTAGTACCTGAACCCGATGTACATAGCTGAGTTGTGTTGGTGAATACTCCGTACTCTCAAAGGCCATTGATTGCCTCTCTACATAACTATAGTCATGAGATAAACCCCTGCATACTCTCCTCTTATTCCACTACAGCTTGAATGCCAGTTTCGCATAGGGTGGCGTTTGGATTACTCTGCGGGAACAGTGTGCAACTCGACGTTACGGGCAAATCAGGAGCTGTTGAATGGACCGGGATCTAAGTTCAGGCTAAGGTGCTATTCCGGCTGTACAAGGCGTCCCACTGTTGACTATCTGAAGTTTTACTGCACGGAGTTCAGTGACTCGGAGCTCTGGACGCAGGGAGCCAATACATTCCGGTACACTCTCTCCGGCTCTAACCAGATTTTCACTGCTGCGTAAGTTTCCGGCTTTGCACGTGTAGATCTGATCTAGAAATGTGTTAGGCGGATCAGCTTGAAGCAAGCAAGCAATTCAACACGTGAGCTCCTGGGCAGATTTTTCCTTTGCAAAACTGATATCATTGCATGCAATGGGCATGACCTATAATCGAGTGCAACTTGTAATCAGGAACAAACAGTAGCAGTTGGGAAGGCAGTGCGCTTAGTCAAGTTTCAGAAATATGGTTTACACTGTACGTGTGTGTGTGCTTGTGTGTTTGTGTGTGTGTGCTTGTGTGTTTGTGTGTGTGTGCTTGTGTGTTTGTGTGTGCGCGTGCGCGTGCGCACGCGCGTTTATGTGTGCGTGTGTACGCGCGTGTGCACGTGTGCATTAACACTGATATTGCAGAATGAGAACGTGTTGCTGGATAGATCTTGTGATTGGCAAGGGCAAGGACTTCAAATGGGGCATCACCATGAACATCACAAAGCGGACCGACACTGGACGTGTCAACAGCAGCCCAACATCTGCGCAGCTGCCGCTGGTTCGTTTGCAGTACGGATGCCCGCACAATATCTCAGTGCACACGGAGGATCCGGATGGTGATCTGGTGCGCTGCCGCTGGGCACAATCTTCGGCTGCAAACGGAGTGGATGAATGCGGAGATGTCTGCAATGCCGTGCCTAGTGCAAGTCTGTTGAATGTGAGTTCTGTAGATGGCAACCTGCGTACTTCATGCGAAGTCTTACTTGTTTGAAGTCGTGAATTATATGTAAAGGGAGTTGGACTTGTACACCATAGCTCTGTGTTTTTTTTTAGTATTGCTGGCCTTTAGCGGATGTGCCTGGTTGAGTCCTGGTGGTTACAGTCAATGTTTTCCTCAGACTTTTTCTCTTTCCAATCCCTTGAAACTGATGAATAAAAAGACTAAGGCCAAAGGATATGCTTGGCGGCAATTTGACGAACGAGCACTTGGAGCATGCGCATGGCTAGTGGTGTGCTGAGGATCGATCTTTGTTGTAGATGGGATGGTGGGGTGGGCAGGCACACCATAGTAAGCCATACTGAGTGATTGCTTGTATAGATACTGCTCAGGATTCTTGCCACTTCTCATTAGCTAGAGCAGGATTTTTCGGCTAGGCTCCGTAAAAAGCGGACAACTGCAGTTGTATTCCCAGTGAGGTCAGAACTGTCACATGTACTGCTATTGGAGACGTTACTTAGTTCTTGCAGGATTGGTCACTTGCCATTCTTGTTGCACATCACACAAGCACAGTATTCAAAGACTGGAAATGTCGGTGATAGCTCTCTGAGTACCGTAGAAAGACACAAAGGTGATAGAACGGTCAAAAGAAAAACAGAAGATTGCATCCATATATAGCCCAGTAACCCTATACACTGTCCATTACGTCCTTCAGTACTGTATCAAAGACGTGGCATTTTGAATTCTTAGCCAGCACTCAACATTGGCTGCATGCTGCTATTGGAGACACAATTCAGTGGTATTGGAGATAAGCTACCTTGCTGGAGTGAGTACTAAACACGGTAGTCGCTTTTTAATTATAGGTTAGTGGATGGCAGGGAGGGCCTTATGGCTTGTTAGTGCCCGACAGGTTAGCCTGAGGGCCGTAGGCCCGAGGGCTAACCTGAAGGGCACAAACAAGCCATAAGACCCTCCCTGCCATGCACTAACTATTTTAGAACGAGGTTACATGCATTATCTCACTTCCATTATGCTTGTGTACCACTATATTGGGTAGTTTTGTGGTTTGTGTGCAGAGAGACTTGGTGTGGTATGAAAGAATATTTTCTTCAGGTAAGTTAGAACGAGGTCTGTCTCGTTGTCCAGGAAACGGCCACTGGTAACTCAGCACCACTTAGGACTACTAAAAGGAGAATGGAAGCAAATGAAATGCTGGGCTCTTAGTGCGAGCTTCATTCTTATTCATATACATGTATGTAGCTTGTGGAGCTATTTAGGGGCTTTGAGAGCCCCTTGTCGATAACTCTAATGACTTTGATCCTCGCTTTTTATAGGTTTCCGCAAGCTGTTGACAAAGAAAATTCGTACAGATGAAAGAATACGGGAGGCAAAAACCGTACACACTTCTGAATTGCGTAGCTTTTAGTAGTACACCGTACACGTTATGCAGAGTTCATTATCTGCACCGTACTATTATGCATACAGGGAGTTGTACGCACCAGTTTAGAGTATATTCAGCGGGCTTTAAACTAATCCAAGGCCCTCGACGCGTCATCAAGAGTAGTAAAATAACGATTGAGCGAGCTTTAAACTCTGATAAGGCCCTTGGCGGGAATGTCGCTGATTGGTCGTTTCCTGGACAACGAGACAGACCTCGTTCTAAACCTGGTTAAGTGTCTTCATTGGAATTTGGAACACAGTGGAACACAGTGAGACTTGCAGAGTGGACGTCACACTATCTCAATGCAGATGGGGAAAAATAAGATCAGTGCATCAGCTCAATAGTAGCTGAGCATTCGAGTGTTCTTTGCGTGAGACATACCACCAGTTTTGTGCATATTCATCTATAAACACCACCCGGTAACCATTTTCTTTGGTCGCTTCCCATTATCTTTTTGCTCAGAATCCATGCGTTCTACAATTGCCTGGAAATCTGTCAGTGGGATATCATGTCGTGGCACTAACACTGGAAGACTTTCCTCCAGCAAACCCCAATGCACAGGCCTTCAGCCAAGTTCCATTGCAGTTTTTGATAGACATCTTCAACTCCAGCGTGCCGTGCAACGTCCACCCGACTTTCGTCTCACCAACGCCGGAGCACAACACGTGCTTTGCCATAAAGAAGAACGAGAGTTACAACACGTTGCTGAGAGTGCAACATGCAAGCATGCATACCAAGTAAGTTTTTATTTCTATTTTTTACAATGATCACAGCTCACAGGCAAAGACAACAACATGCGGATGGGAGCATAGTGATGGCGAGGCGTTTTGCCCTCGGCCTACCTGAGGTCTAGTCGTCATGGGACCTTTACCGCACCAAAATAAAAGAAGAAGATAAAAGAGAAGTGAAAGGTATACGTATGTACATGATATGAAATGTTAGGAGGGGGGGGGGAACAGTGCATTAGAAGGAGGGGAAAAATAAGACCAACAGTGTTAGGAGGAGAAGGAGAGAAAAGAAGAACAGACATTGTTATGAAGAGTACATTGAGCGGAATTTGAAAGTCATGGGGTGAGGCAGTTGTAATGCTGATACTCAGAGATGGTCATGTGACTACGGCCAGTCGTTGGCCTTCAAATAGCGGTTGACTGCAACCTTGAAGTGTTTGCAAGTTCTTGGTGCAGAATGGACCAGAGGAGACTCCGGCGGGCAGCTGGTTTCAGACGGTGACAACTGCTTGAGGGTAGGCTCGACACGGGTTGTTTCGGGAGCGGACTGGAAGTTCATTTGCCAGTTGGTGAAAGTGCTGGTGTGTTAGCGGAGATGCAACAGCATTCTCTTACCAATGACTTCTTGCTCACACGTCCTACGATTCTGGCATGATCAAATGAGCCTTGATAAAAATTACCATCCCTGCTCGTGTCGCGGCTTTGAAGCAACACTTTAGGAGAGGTTAACAGTACTGAACGGTGCTTTCAACCATCAGTTTGCATTGCGGGAATAGGAACAAGTAAAAAATCGACTGATAAAAATCAGCTGCGCATCTGGACATGAGGCTTGGTTGGAGAAAACAAATCCTGCAAATGTCGACCCGGTAAGTTGCACAAGCTGGTATGCAGTGAGCATGCATCTCAGTGCTTTAGCATTCGGTAACTGCTAAAAACTACTGAGATTGGTTTTCTCTGCGTATGTGCGTACGTTCACTCTTGCTCATGTGTGCTTGCGCATGAGCGTGTGTATGTGTGTGTGTATGTGTGTGCGTGCGCACGCATACGCGCGCGCGTGTGTGTGTGTGTGTGCGTGTGTGTGTGTGTGTGTGTTTGTGCATTCTGTATTTCTGGCTCAGCATCACGAGTATTAGCCTGACGGCACCAGTTGGCATGACTCGCAGCTCACTGCTACTGCACACTGATACCAGCCAGCTATACACTAGCATGAACGTCAGCTGGACACCAGGAGCTACACAATATGGCCAGCATGTCTTCTGCTTCTTAGCAACTGATAGCACACAGTATGTTATACCGGTGCACAAAAATTTGAACAAAATACACCCTTTCTCTTTTACAGTTGTGGCAAGTGAAATTCGACACTTGGCATAAGGGACTGCACCATGCAGTCTGCAGCCCCTACAGCCCTGCATACGTACAGTACATGTGTTACATACAACTTTATCTGTCTGATGACAAAACTCGTACTCATCACAGTCAAGGTTCAAAAGGTGCTGGCGAAAATGAATGGGGATTTGATACCAATACCGTAAAGTACCGTTGATCCGCCCCCACGCCATGTCGCTTCCCAGCTGGGTTTTCGGCAGGGGGCGGGAATTAGATCAAGGCTGTCAAGTGCAGTATGATGTACAACAACGTAGAGGATCAGACTCAATGTGCTGAATTGTGCACATTTTGATCCTGGATTGGCAAGTATTGTGTACAGCAGTGCATGCGTCGGTTCAACATCGTATTTCGTTGTATACGGCGAAGTCGCTTCACAAGGAGAAAATCGACAGGGGGCGGGAATTAGAGAGGGGGCGGATCAACGGTACTTTACGGTACTCCTTATGTGTACCATATTTGTGAACTGTGTGTATCTACGCTGTGACCTTTCAATCTGTTTGGGATGCATACGGCTCTATAGTACAAATTAGGTACAGTGCATTACATCATTAGTGTCCATTTGTGGCGCTGTCCCCTATGCAAGTGTCGGATTTCACTTGCCACAACTGTAGTTATTTGCATTGAACAATTTTATGCATAATCTACTGACATGTGTTTTACTGCCGATGTGCGAAACAGTTCTGTCCAAATTGCCATCACTCACTTGATGTGAAGATCCACGAGTGTCTACACCGCGGTATCAAACTGACCGTCTCTGTCGGAAATAATTATACGGGTAGTTAGTTCTCCCTCAACTCCAAAGTGCATTGGAAAAACAATACACTACTACTAGCCATGTACATGTACTTGACTGCCTAGTCACTGTTGTTCTCGGTCTTTCCATATCATGGCAAGTGCCATGCAGAAACTGCCGCTTCTCGGTCTTCCCATAGCATGGCAAGTGCCATGCAGAAACTGCACGATTGTGTTGCAACACACCCCGAACTGGGGGATGATATCAGACAGGGTTGGCAGAGTCTGCAGCCATGCTGTATGTCAGATATTTGGTATTGGGGAAACAGTTAGTCTGACTTGACTGATTTATCCATGTAGTAAGTTGTTGCTCGGCTCGGCTAGGCACACGGCACACGATGCTCTTGTGTTTGTTTTGTGTCTGTAGGCAAACTACTAGCTCGCGCTGTATCACACTTCTTGCCGGAGGTGAGTTTGATTACATCCGGCAAAGCTCTGCCATGCTGGGAGTCTTTGCTTGCGGCATCGCCTAGTTTTTTTTACGCAGCATCCGCTGTTTGAACTGTTACAGGGTAGACACAATCCCTTGCACACTTTTGAAGGACTAAAAAAATCAGATTGAGGCACTCCCGTGGAGCACTGCAATTCCGCCCTTAAGCTTCGTGGTCGTCTAAATCAGACTGCGTCACCTTTTTGTTGCACTTCAATCTATGTTGAAAACTCTTACATTTACTGTGGCAAGTGACTGGTACTGGCTGCCCCAACAGTAACCCGTTGTACTGCATTTGTTTGTTCATATTACTGTGTGAGTGTTGTGTGTATGTGTGTACGTACGTACGTGCGTGCGTGTGCATGATTATGTCTGTCGTATGTGCCTCCTTTAGCTTCGCCACCAGAGACGGTTGCTGGTACGATGCTACCAAGCACGCTGGGAAATCACACGGCTCCTCACTTGTTTGCAACATTTACTGTAAACTTTGATCAGATGGTAAGGGGGTGAAATGCCTGCATGTGCATGTACCGGTATGCCCTCAGCTCTGGTTTACCATTTCCTTTAGTATTGCATGCCTGGTCCTTTTTATGTATTATTTCCTTTTTCAATCATTTCTCCTGCCCTGCTCATCCGCCTCTGCCACTGTATCTTTAACAGCATGACATATTGTTTACACTTGCTTTGGGACTGGTCACGTTTAGAGAAAGAAAAAGAAGGAGTTTCCATTTGCTGTAGTGTGCTTCAGACATTATGAATGTACAGACTTGACAAAAGGAAAAGTCACAATAATACGGATAGGCAGAAAAATGTGAATAGTCACTCCTCGGCAATGACTATGGTCTGAATCTGAGTACATGCACAGTGAAACCTGCCTAAGCTGACCGCTCAAGGGACCTTCCAATTATATGATATGGTCCCCGTGGACAGATGGTCTCCTTAAGTTATCCGGGGTCATTTGACTGGAAATGAAGCCCTTTGGTCCTAGTTGTAATGGTCCTCTGTCACAGGTGGTTGCCTTATCACAGTGGTCACCTTATCACAGTGGTCACCTTGGCAGGTTTTACTGTGTGATTAAAAATATGCTCAGGGCCTCATTCCATCATTTCTGTTTATCCTACATTCCGATCATCCTCCATAGATATTCAAACCCACAAGTTTTGCCAAGATCCGTGTGTCCCAGGTGAATGGTAGCATGTCAGCAGAAGTCTACTCGCTGACGGTGGCAACCTCTCCCGATGTAACACTCAGACAACACCCTGACGCCAATGGCCACTATCAGCTCAGGTTTATGGTGCGCAAGCGCTTGACAATCGGTGCACGCTACGCAGTCACGTTTGATCACGGTGCCGTGGTAGGCGTGCAGAGCTGCACTGGAGGCGGTGTGCCATTCCAGGGGATTTCTGAGCCTTCGCCCTGGCAGTTTGTGGCCGATCATACCGGTAAGTCTTCTTGGATACACTCGTGTAAATATTGTCCTAAATTTCTTGGTCCATGTTGTGGAATCTAAGCAAGCTAGGAAGCTAGGTTGCACCCAGAGAACTGTTCATACCGTAACTGTCTACCCTATGCCTGGTCGTAGGCGATGATTCCGAGACCTCCGGTCGGATTAGCCTCGCCAACCACATCGGCACATCGCCCCTACTCCCCTTTGTCTTGTTGTCCAGTGTCACTTCAATTGTCCCCTTTCCCTGATTATTAGTAGGGCTGTGTTTGCTAGTAAAAAAAGTAAAATAAAATCCGGATCAATGTTTTGTGATCTTCAACGTTTTGACGTTCAGAACGCATGATACTGACAGTCACGTGCATAAATCCGATGAAGATAAGGGGAATGATGCAGGACCGTCTGACGAAGCCCCTGTAAATCGTTTGCTTTTCTGCAGTTGGCAACATTTCCGATTGCTCTACGACGCTGTCACAGTTCTTGGCATACGGTGAAATTCGAAAGGATTGGCAGTTGGACCTTGGTGATGGAAGCACATGCTTGACTTCTAATATATCAGAAAGTGCGAATGAATTACCTATGTGGGGTTCGCAGCACAGCACGCTGACGGTAAGTAGGTTCACAGCACTGCTGAAGTTGTCCCTCTGCACAGACATGGCCATGTGCGGTGCTGCCAAAGCTTGGCTAGTACATGTGCATAGGCTTCTGCATGGGTCTGCTTCGACATTGGATTCCACCATTGTAGAGTGGCTCTCTCAAATTGTGCAATTTAATCTATGCATGGCATTGTGTAGAGTAGCAGGAGGAGGGGATGAGGGGGGGGGGGGCTGCATGGAACTCCTCCTTTCGTATATTTTGATTGGGAAATTATCGAGAACTTGCAGGCCTGATAATTCTGAATGTGGAGTTGTAGTCTTGGACCCCCACTCCATTTGAGCACCCTATTTATCGATCTTTACATGACACGAAAAAGTATCGTTTATGGGTGTGTTGAGGTGAGTTTCGTTTTGAAAATAGTGAAAGCTGAAGCATCAATCCATTCCAGCTGTCAAGCCAATATATTTTGGTTCAGGGTTGTGGGTAAGTGGGTGGGTGGGGGAAGGTCATAACTAAACTGTTTCGTTCATGAAAATTATCAATAATGCCGGATGACCTCTTATCGGATTGCCTGGAGTTATCATCCAATTCTGATAACGTGTGTATACCTCTGCCTAGATCTGTGAGAATGGACTGATCATGCTGGATCAAGACCAACCCATCCACCATCCCCAGCTATTCCCAGGAAACTGGACCACGCAGCCAACAATTCTGGCACCCTACTGGTGCTTGGCTGACAACTCGTACTCCAAGAATCTTCCAGACGGTCTGAGATCTCACGTCTGGTATCATTTCTACGACAGGCAGGTTTCCTCGGAGAAGGCAATGCTGGAGGAAGTAGAGAGCTTGATCATTGCCAGGGAGAGGAGTAAAGATGGGGCCTTCTATTTCACTGCAACGTGGGCAGCAGTGGTGACGTGGGAACGAATCACACCCTACCCAAGCATCTATCAGTACCAACTAGTAAGTTTAGTCTAGATGTCTGCTCTCGCTTACTTTGAAGTGTGCACTAGTCCTCAGAGTATATATGTTTTACATTCTAAAGAAAAACTCCCTTGTTCTGATTGGGGGCACTGACATTGGTAACTTCAAAGTCGCCCTGAGGTGATCGTTTGGATTGTCATGATCATTCCAGTGGGTATCGGAAAATAAATTTCGAGCAGAGTGTGGTTGGATTTGTTTCAGTGAATTTCACTTCAAGCGCTCGTATACGATTTCAGCGAAACTCGAAGTTGCAATAGGACTTTTGCTCATGATTTCACAGAGAATCCCATGTATCTGTAGGAAACTGACTCTAAGCCCCTACCATGGTCATGCTTGTTCTATCATCTGGTGATCACTATGATTACAGAAGGGATTTCTTTGCCTGCTGCGCTGTCTTCTTGTGTCTTACCTGCGACCAGCACAATACATTCCAAGCAATACTAGCTTCGGATGGAGTTCGATCGTTTGCCGTGTACAGCTTTGACTCCAACTCAATACAGTGGTCTGTGCCCGCTGTTCATGATGTAAACTCCGAGTTTGGGCATGCCGTGAGCGGCTTCACGAGCCAAGGCCACCACTACACCGACAAGCGATCGGGCACACCGCAGATTTCAAGTATCGACGATGGGCAACCAGCGCCTGGGCAAGAGTGCGTCTCCGGGACGATGATGGTATACAAGCTCTTCACACAGTCCACTGTCGACGGGCCAAGAGCTAGATGCCTTGAGTGGTATGCCATGCAGCCGCACGCCAATACTTGGATGCAGCACTTCAGTCCCTGTCCCTGCACACTTTCCCAAGCTCAAGCTGACTCTCGCTTTCAAGTCATCAGAAGTCTAGCACCGAGGCTGTGTTTTCAGAACGCTGTCCCGTCCATCACGGGCTCCTCTCAGGAGTGCTGTTACCGAACGCAGGAACCAGGTCGCGGGGCGTTTCTGAACGGCCCGCCGGACGGTGGCAACTCGGTACGCTTCTCCTGGCTAAGCTATAGCCCAAGTACAGTCCGCTCCGAGGAGACACTGCCTTACCAATGGTGCTGTAAGGACTCAGCACTTTGTCATCTGTTTTGGGAGAAACGGCCGAGCAAATCCTGCCAAGGATATGTGCAACCCTCTTTTGGTAAGGTAGACGATCAGTGGTTTTGGGGACCCCAATGCCTTTCACTAGTCGTTCTGTGAATTGAGTTTCAGCAGCTATGGACCCCATCACGAAGGAAGAAATTTGGCCATTTCAGAATAACATGGTTGAATTCACATTGTGTGCAGTGGAGGCTGGAGAGCAGGGCCTCTCCGGTCATATAGTCAGTTTTCATTTCCGATCGGAAATACAGTTTAGGCCCATTTGCCATGCGATTTCCAACCATGCATGTCTTTAGTTCTTGTGGGAGTCAACAAAGGACAAAACAGTTCTGTCCGCAGATTGTGTATAAATTCTAAATGGCTTCTTGCACTTAGCCGGATGGTGATCTCGTGCGTCGAAGAAAAGTCAGGCTGGGATTCAACCAAAAACTGGAGCATTTCAGTATACAGTGGATTCAGGGCGGGAATAAGAATCATCCTGGACTAAAGGGACTAAAGTGGCTTCCCTACATTCGTTAATCATCCTGGACTAAAGTGGCTTCCCTACATTCGTTTACATGTAAGATTACTGCATGCCATCACCTCTTGCTTATTCATCCTGCATGGTAAATCCTTGACTTGAGCTGATCATGGTTGTTACACACAGGCAGGCAAGTTTGCTGTGTGCTGATATGAGTATTGTTTGTTTTGGACTATTAGGCGTGATAGCGGGCCCTCTAGTGAAGACCGTGACCGGACACCAGCTTCTGCTTGATGGCAACACTACAGAAGCCTACACGCTGCTAGCTGTAATGCCCACGTTCTACTCTGAGGCGGTCTTCTCCACGGGTTCCGGTATGGGGGACTTGGCTCGCGTACTGGAACTTGGCGTGCGCGGCAATGGAAGCGACACGGTCGAGGTCAAAATATCTGCAGAAGGATCCCTGGTATTTGCTATCAATGGAGCACCGCTCACGGACAAAGTGCTGATGGTGTTCACCGACGAAGATGTCAACATCACTGTCGAGTGTTTACAATGGGAGCGACAGTGTCATCATATCAATGCCTCGGCAAAACCAACCGTGCCATCGTCAGAGCCCGTAGTTGGTATCAGTGTCCACGATGGGCTCAGTGTTGTGGTGCTGAACCGCACGCATGCCAGTGTAGTACTGGATACTGGTGTGGTGCTCGACCTTACTTTGGTCACAGAACTAGACACGATAGCAGTAACTGTAAGCATCCCTGCCGCCTTAGCCAATGTATCAACTGGGCTTCTGTCCGGTGATGACTCGCAGCTGCAAACATTGCCTCCATCAAGTCAGCACATCGCCATTTTGCCCGACTACTTGAGCAAATGTAAGACTTCTGTGACGTCTGGTTGACACGTTGTCCTATTGTTATGGTATTTGCTAGCTCAATGGGAGGGAGCTTGATGTAATGTTCTCTGTTGGCTTGATGTAGTGTTCTCTAGCTTGGCTTGATGTAGTGTTCTCTAGCTTAGTTGGCATGGGTCAAGTCCCAGTGATGATTTCCTGGTAACATAGAAGATGGATTCGGTCAATTTTGCATCAACCAAAAAGCAGGAGATCACGTGAGCAGCATTGTGGAGGTTTGGGGACAGTGAGAATGAAACGGTGAAGAGATGTCCAGAGTACCTTGCTCAAGAAAGCCGCTGAGGCTGTATGCTTGTATGCCTTGGTCAAGAAAGCCGCTGAGGCTGTATGCTTGTATGCCCAGACTTGGTGTAATCACTGTCGTTTGTTTCTGACTCTGTGTGCTGGCCTGCGATATAGGGCAAATGAACTGCTCCAGTCTAAGCACTGTTCTGGATCCTAGCTGCTTAGATGAGCCCTCTACTCAAACACCACCAGCAACTGCAACACTAGCACCTCAACAACCACAGTATCGTGATAACTCATCTCTGCCGAGTGCAGATTACAAGGATGTGTGCGGCAATGACTCGAGGTGTCTGGATTTGGCGCTGACTATTGGGGATGTGAACAAGACGGCTGCCATTGTCAAGGTCCTAGCAGATCAAGAGGATAGAGCGATGAACCTAGGTGTGTGCTTGTGAAAACACCCTTTCCTCTCTGATTTGTTCAGGGCTCGGGAAAAGATAGGCATGCGCTAGCAGCAGGATTACATTGCTTATAACTGTCATCAATGTGTGCATGAATACTGTTCTTTAGCACCAACACTGAATACACCCGCTCTATATGTGCACCAGTAGTACTATCATAATGCGCATCACAAGAGTGAAACATGCATGGTGTCGGTGGATCTCCTCTCGTTACACATGTATACTGTATTTCTACTCTGGTCGATGATGTTCACGCAGGACGCCAGCCAGTGCAGGTGGTGTCCACCTCGCCGACATTCCAGTCCGCAGCGGAGTCACCGGTAGTCAGGGTAGATCTCAGCAACATAACCGATCCTAACCCCCTATCTCGGCAGAGCTTTGAAATCATCCCGCTGCCAACATCGACTTTCAGTATACTTCCTGGCGGTGACTCAGACACGTTCTGGGTGACTTTGAATCGCAACGTGCCGGCTACAGACCTGCAGTTGGCGATCACATCTGATTCGAACGTAACTGTGTTGATACGCCCGACGATTTTCATCTGTGACTGCAGTAACAACGCCACATGCAGCGAGACGCAGTTCTCCCCGCTCAGCTCTGATCGAACGCGCATCCATGCTTGTGAGTGTCCGCCGGCATATGATGGCAAGTATTGCGAGTTGGACCGTGACGGATGTGAGGCGGCGTTTCAGCCCTGTGCAAGCGGTGTGGTCTGTGTGGACAAACCTGCTCCGAGCACCGGATATCAGTGTGATCCATGCCCGACTGGATTCTCGGGAGATGGAGAGAACTGTTTTGGTAGGGGATCTTGATGATTTTACTTGGTTGTGTCCACCTCGACACATTGTTGTGTCTCACAGACTCTCTCACTGTATAAATCTATGATTTTTTCGATTCTCCTTTAGATCATTGCAGGGTGATGGCGTTGCTACGGATACTGAAAACTCAGTCTGACTGAGTCTCAAGTGAACCGTGACATTTTGTGTGTTTGTTTTGTGTCAATTACCCTTGTGTGGATAATCAACCTGTTGTTTTATTCATGATCCAGATATTGACGAGTGCAAGGAGGCGTCGGGCCAAGCTCACTGTCAACAGCTGTGTGTCAATACTCAGAAAGGCTTCAAGTGTGACTGCAGTGCTGGATACATGCTGGCAAGCAATGGTTCATCGTGCATAGGTAATCCGTGCAAGTGTTGATACCACTTGACACCACAACTGTTGAGCTTCTAGAACTCTATGATTTCCCTTAGCACTCGCAAACAGAACTTAAATCAATCGATCTAGCAATCAATCTAGCAATCAACTAGCGAGGGATATTGCCAAGGCGTTATTATTGGGGGAACGACAAGGGAGAGAGATGGAATGATGAAAGGGGGACTACGTGGGTTACACTGTGAAAGAGACTGAAGCCATGTAAGGACGAGAGACAACTAGACACTTGAGGCGATGGAGGTTTACTGGACAGGGACGAGATCAGGCAACTTGGCGAGATTCACGACATTTGCCATAAGGGGGAAAATCCAGGACTGTTTGAGCGGAGCTTGTTGCCAATATTGAGCTTTTGTAATATTATGGCAGTCGTAGTAGGACTGAACGTGTATATGAATACGTCTCACATTTTGCTCACATCCCCACTCTGCTGATACTGTTTTCAGATGTAAATGAGTGCCAGCAGCACAGTCATAGCTGCAATCAATCCTGTGTGAACAATGCCGGATCATACACGTGTGGATGCTACACTGGATATATACTCAATACCACGGATGGTGTTTGCACCGGTGAGATTCTAGCATGAGAAGTATACGTGTAGGTATGTCAAAATACCCCCCCCCCCATACCATTGGCCCATTGGACGCCCATCGCCGAAGGCGATGATAGCGATGCTACAGCAGAAGCCATAGCAGCTTGTGCTGGGATTGCACCATTCAACAACTTGCAAGGCTGAAGAATTGACCGCTACTATTCAGCCTGGTCTACACCACACAGCTATGAAGTGGCTTTTTCTGGCCAGTGAATCCCTACTTTTTGGTCTTTTTCATTTTTTCCCGCACACACATCACACCACATACACACACACACACACACATACACACACACACACACACACACACACACACACACACACACACACACACACACACACACACACACACGCATGTACACGCGTACTCCAGTGCATACGCACACATTCGCAACACTCAAGATCAAACTCTTTTTGCCGATTTGACTCGACACTTGACAGACTCGTGATAAGATAGCTAAAAATAGCTATGATGGCTTAACCATGACATGCATAAGCACCTATATATCTATTATCTACCTGTGTTTGGCATCCGTCAGGAGTAGATGTCATCTGTGCAAGTAACTCACAGTGCTGCTTTTAATGAAATCCGATCGTGTGCTGAAGCTTTCACCCCACACCAGTGAACAATCCCTGTACTCACAGGGCTAGGGTTGCACAGCGCTCGGCTCGTACTTGACTCCCGCGATCGGATTTCATTGAGCAGCACTGCAGTTCTTGTTGGCAATGTTGGACATATGTATGCGTGCTGTGTCTTATTTAGTTTTTTTAGAGGATGCATGAGACCAGTTCTATTTGTCTTCAACTTCTGGTGTCAATGTGACCCTGTTCTGTGTTGTGCTTTTAGCTTTGGCCCACTGTTCTGCTGACAATACTTGCCAGCAGTTGTGCACGTATGACTCGTCATCAGCCAGTTCAGTATGCTCATGTCTCAGCGGCTATCAAGTCAACCAGTCCTCGCCAAACCTATGTCAGGGTGCGTTGCGGCTGTGGCACATCCGTCTAACAATGTAGTGGTTGTGCGATATGTGTGTGTGTGGGGGGGGGGGTCTCTATGGGCATTCTTTCCCCCGTATCTGTTAACTTCTATCAATGTGCAAGTGCCAGACAGTCTTTCAGAGACCCGGCTCTGCATTCAAAGACCATGATGGGTTTGTAGTTTGTACCATGGGTAGTTGGGTGCGTCAGGTACCTACATTGTACATACATCCTACACCGTACCATCGGTAGTGAGTCCACCCGGTGCCAAGTCGGCATCTCAGCAGCCCCCTTGCCATGGCAACAGCTCATCTGCCACCCACCTGCCGGCACTCCACCAGGAAAGACGACTGGCGACGCCGCTGGTAGGAGGCCCGGCACCCGCGGAAACAGGTGACGGCCCACCGAAGTAGGCAAAATGAAATGCGTACCCGCAACCGGTTGATGAGGATGGCGTACGGGATATCGATGTGACGCCTGGACAGGTATGTCGCCAGTGTAGATAGAAATTTCGCGCCCTCCGGTGCCGCCAGGCCCTGCGTCGTAAACACAAGCGGCGTAAATGACGCACGCTTGATGTTGACGATCCGTGGCCCATACTCGGCCTTCTTACGCCGCTCGTGAGACCTGAGCTGGCCAAGGACTTCTGAACGAGACAGCACAGACGCCTTAGGGTGGGTTACCCTAACATCAAAATAGGCGTCCTGCTGCCTTGTCCAGAAGCCCCTGGCTCGGATGGCCGCTCGGGCCTCGTCCTGGCGATTCA